ACGATGTCATATATACTACTATTGAAAGAATTATTAAACCCAGAATTACTAAAACTTTTGCAAACCCTAAAACTCAAGTAAGAGGTGGGATAGAATAGAAACAAATGTTTTATAGAGAATATTAGAGTATTACAAACATTCTTGTCCTTTATTCAATAAATTAGGGATTTGAAATGACTAAATATATGAAATTCAAGAAAAATAGGGAAAAACTCTGCCAGTGCATAAGTGAAAGACGATTTTTTTAATTAAAAGTGAATGATGGATTTTAATTTAAATGTTATTCATTTGTAATAAGGTGGTGTTATCCACACACCTCTTTTTACCTTTCACACACCTCTCTTAATTTTCAGTCATCCAATTGAATGATTTGAAGAAGATCAAATGACATAAATTAACAGGGGGTATGTGGAAGGAAAAAAAGGGTATGTAGATAACACCACCCTTTGTGATAAATGACCATTCAAAATATATACTTAATTTTGGGATGAGATCTGTTGGATTAAAAATAAATAATGAATGAATTTGTTTTAATTGTTTAGAATGGTTGCAAAGCAATAGAAATAGAAATAAGTGTAATACTAATTTTATTTTTTCAAGTCAGGGTAGGCCTAGCACTATTGTAGTCCTTAACTATCTCCGCCAGAGCCTGCAGACAATAGACCTTCATTCAAGCATTTGTCTGAACACCTTTCGTACAGGTTTAGAGGGGTGAATTTTCCCTCTTAGGGTCGATTTCCAACAATTGGAGGTGTGGCCGCACCTCCTTGCGTCTCTGTGGCTCCGTCACTTGAAAGGGGTTGCCTTAAGGCTCTGAGAAAGGGAAGGAAAGAGAGTTGCAATCAGCTAGAGGTCTGGGAAGTGGCAGGATTCTGAAATTCTAACAGGAATAAAAATCGAGAAGTGAGGCCTTGGCAGTGAGTGGAGGCTCGGCTGTGCTAATCAGAATTCTAATATTTATTCTTTGGAAAAATTAAAAAAGAATTTAGATATATATTAGATGTTATTTTAGGAATAATGGTTGGTGGGAAAATAACACTTCAACTTTTTAACTTTCTTTAATTCTATAAGCAAGGGGATTTATAGCCTTTTAGAGAACAGAACCCCCAGATACTTATAATCAAGCAAGTATCAAAAATCATTTTCCTCCACTTGCTTTTGCTAGAAAAAAATTTGCAAATTATATCAACAAAACAGGTGTACATCACAAATAGTCCCTGAAATTGAAAAGCAATCAATGTAGTCCCTGAAAATAGATGTCGTAAATCAAGTGGACCTTCCATCTCAATTCTGTCAAAAATTTTGTTATATGCTGATGTGACACATAAATGGGGCCGACATGATGTAAGAGTTTCATCACAAATGGTCCCTGAAATTGAGGCCTACACCATCAATATGGTCCCTGAAATTGAAAATCGATAAACGTAGTCCATGAAAATAGGCATCACAAATCAATGTAGTCATTCTGTCACAATTATGTCAAAAATATGATGATGTGGGTTTCATAACTAATTAAAAAAGTTGCCAAAACATCTTTTTACACAATGAGATTATCTCAAGGCAGAGCTCGTCGTTCTTCACGTCACCAAGATCCAGGGAGCACCCAATAAAAGGTGGTCTCGATCCTACTCCAATTCGATGAAGGTTGTCGAAAGGTGTTAAAATGGGTGTCTTGAGAATTTTTTTTTCAAAGAAGAGATGCATAGGCTAACATAGATGGAGGCAAAGGAGTATGGGTTGGGATCAAAGGTGACTACGGAGCCAAGTTTCTGGGTTGACAACTTTTTTTAATTAATTATTAAATTATTAAACCTATTTCTAATTTATTTAGTTAGACTTGTAACAAAATATTTGACAGAATTATAACGGAATGACCACATTGATTTGAGACATCTGTTTTAGGATTAAATTGATCGATTTTCAATTTTAGGGATCATCTTGATGGTGTGGGTCAATTTCAGGGACCATTTATGATAAAATATATAAAAATTTAAAATTTATAAAAAAATAAAAAAAAACTTGTAAGATCCATTTATGTGCCACATATTTTTGGCCCATGACTTTTTTATTGGTGATTTTTGGCCAAGGCTATTAGACCCAATTTATCAATTTTACCAAGGAAAATTCAAGGAAAGTCATATTTTTTAGACCACGTGATGTGATAGTTGATGGTTGGATTCTTTTTTTAATGATCTAAAAAAAGAGTCTAACCATCAACTACCACATCACATGGTTTACTAAATATAAATCAAGTAGATAATCTCTCTATGATAAGTAGAAAACTACTAATTAAAAAAAAAAAAAACATTTTCTTAAAAAAATAATTAGGGGAGTTTTAATGTCAACCATTCAATTTGATCCAACAAGATTGTGAGAAGACCGCATCTTAGACCATCTCCAATCCATAGAATAAAACTTAAAATATAAGCTTTAAACCTTCCCCCCCCCCCTCCCCCTCCCCCTAACCATCTCCAACCATTAGAGGTGGTTCAAAAAATCGAAAACAGAAAGAAACTGAACCAAATACCAAATCGAAGCAAAAAAATAATCGAACTAAAACACAAATCGAACTTAACCGAAATTGGTTGGTTCGGTTTCGATTTTGATGGTCTAGAAATCGAACCGAACCAAACTAAACTAGTGTGTGTGTGTGTGTGTGTGTGTGTGTGTGTGTGTGTGTGTGTGTGTGTGTGTGTGTGTGTGTGTGTGTGTGTGTTATTGATTATGAAAATCATATACAGAATTACTAAAACTCAAGGTCCACAATAATCATAATTGGTCACTGACTACAATAATCATCATTGGTCACTGACTACTACATGGAGTCCTTTTACAAGTCTGTCATGGTAAAGTCAGTACAGTAACTTAGCAGGTAACCAACAAGATAGTATCCTTAGTTTCTTTAGTGTCATAATATTGAAGGAATTTCTCTGGAACCGACGAATGCAAACCGGAAAGGGATCATCTCTGGATCCCTTCTACCTTATCCTCTTCATCAAACAATCTGAATCCTTGAAATTGATCTAACGGCTAATATTATTATAACTTTTAGAGTGGATCCCTGTTTGTAGTCGTTGGATCAAATTTTAAAGGTCCAGATTGTTTGATGAGGAAGATTAGTGGAAGGGATCTGGAGAGGATCCCTTTCCATGTAAACTGTTATGAACAGAAGATTTGTTGTAATCAGAGTATTATGCTTCCATCTACTATTGCAGTTTTGCAGGTGTTAGGTAGTAATGCTTAATTGTGGTTTTCTATATGAAACATGCAGGTTTTGACATGAACTTATAGACATAAGATTTAAAGGATCCGTGTGACCAGACTGTATTGTTTAAAAAATAAAAAAAACCGAAATCGAACCGGAAAACAACTGAACCGAACAAACATCGAAAAATTTTGAACCGAACCAATTAGAATCTAACCCACTCCTACCAATCATTGGGCTAAAATAAATCTTGGGAGAAAACATATCTTTGGGCTAAATTCAAGCCAAAAATTAAGCTAGGCTTAAATTATTCCGGACCCAACAATATGTCATATTTCAAACCTTTATTTGTTTTTTACTTATAAATCAACAGAAAGGGATCATCTCTGGATCCCTTCCTCCTAATCCATCAAATCAAGGAAACCATACCATTGAAATTTGATCCAACGACTACAAACAAGGGCTCATTTTAAAAGTTATAATAATTTCAACCGTTTGATCAAATTTCAACGACGCGGATTACCTAAATTGGTGGCCGTTTTTCCTGATTGGTTTTGGTTTCTTGGCCGCGTTGCACACTAGGTGTTTGTTAAAACCTCTTAATATGGTATTGCTCTATTTCATAATCACTTGCTCTATCCAGCTTAATCTCTAGTCATGAAGGGCTAAATGTTATAGGTTTAACGAAACAATTTCGTTTACTTGCCGATGTTATTATACCGTTCATACTAAATATCACATCCCAGCCCAAGCTCCCACCACATTCCGAGCTCGACTCCACCGTAGCACGATATTGTCTGCTTTAGGCCCCGATTACGTCCTCACGGTTTTGTTTCTGGGAACTCACACGAGAACTTCCCAATGGGTCACCCATCATGGGATTGCTCTCGCGCGAACTCACTTAACTTCTGAGTTCCTACAGAACCCGAAGCCAGTGAGCTCCCAAAAGGCCTCGTGCTAGGTAGAGATGAGAATATACATATAAGGCTTAGAGGATCCACTCCTCTGGACGATATAGGATTTTACACTAAATGTCAAAAAACCATTCATACCTATATTCATATTTGTATTTTACTAATATTAATATAGGATTCTGAACATTTAATAGTAAGATTATTACATCAATGAGGTTGCCTTTTAATAAAAAGAAAATTCTTAGACAAAAAAAAAAAAAAAAAAGGAAAAAGAAAACACTACGTGAATGAGGTTGTGCATAACCCACATGCCTAAAATATAGTTTCTAAGAAAAATAGTTTTAGTCAAAATTGACGTTGCTCTATAATTACCATCTCTACTGCTCGTGTTGTATACAATCTCTCTAATTTAGGTAGGTATATGAATCTCATATCTATTAGAGAGATCGTAATGAAGATGGTCGGTTGAGATGGGAAAGAAATAGGACTTTTTACGATGTTAGAGGGTAGGTGGATAATGTGTGGGGAGAGTTGGATTTTGGGCTTACTTTATGCACATTGGAATCTCCATAATTTAGGGATTATTCTTTTTCAGTCTGGAGTCTCTTAATGTATTGTACTAGTAGTTTTGTTGACAGTTTCTTTTTACCCAAAAGAAAAAGAAGCTGATACAATGCTCTCTTGCTTGGATATGGCTCCTTGATTTACTACCTGACTAGACATAGTGTTGGAGTTCTCTGCGAGTTTCTTTTTATCTTGTTTTATTGAAAGAACGTATCGATGAGAGGCCAAAATTTCTACAGTCAGCTAACACACAAAGTAACCGGTTAAGATAATCCAATTGTCTGCATCGCCGTAGGACAATTATGAATAATCGTTGAGAGACAGAAATCAAAAACAATTTCGATATAACGTTAAAGGCAGAAACAACAGAACAGAACTACTGACTTTGAAGAAACAACTATTAGCCACGACACACCTTCTGCGCAGCATCTAGCTTCATGTTCAAAAGCAAAACTATGTAAACAGAACAAATTACTTCATCTAAGGCAGGAAAGAGCTTAATATGACTTCCCACAATGTATCAAGCTCCCGGCACCTAAGAAAAGACCAAAGAGAGCGGCACTCGACACTGTTCTTTGTCCAATGTGCCTGATCTTCAGAAATCCTGGCACCTGCAAGCATAATTATGACAAAAAAAAATTAAATGCAAGCATGGCAGACTCTTTAGAGGATAGCATTGTTTGATAATTTAACATGTGAAAAACAATTGCAATGACACAAAGTCTCATCACATATTGACGAATGGTGGGATTGTAAATTTTTATGTTTCTCAACACACAGACCCATTTAGAAAACTTGACCATCTAATGTAAATTGAATCATCACAAATGTACCATTTGAAGTTTTCATTCATCTTATGCCACTAGCATGACCATCGCTCAAAATGCAGCCAATATTTTTCCTGAAGGTCACTCCATTTTCTCGTTTGGTGTTTGTGGCTTCAGAAAGTCTGCAAAGTTGAGAATGGTAGTTTAATTGATTTCAAAGTTAAACCCACCCCCTGCCAGCCAACACCACCCACCTCCTCCCCTCCCCCCCCCCCCCCCCCCCCCAAAAAAAAACCTCTCCTCCCCCCACAAAAAAAAAAAAAAAAAAAAAAAACCCATCCCAAATCGATATATGTAGTGAGCCTAAGCACATACTGTTCAGATGGATGTTCCCATATTCTCAGTTTTTAGACAATAGTCATGGAAGCTTAAAAAAGTATTAACAAAAAACCATGAGCAGAAAATTGTGGAATTTGTATTTAAAACGATGAAAATAACTAGAGACTAGATCTGAGGACGTACCTTAAACCTTAAAGCCTCGTATGTCCCATACACCGAACCTGGACATATTCGATAAATTATGAATAGGCAAGGTAAAGCAAACATCCATTTTTTCTCAAGCTAGCTGACAAATTTATCGTAAAAGATCATGTTCCAGACTATATAATCCACCACTCTTATATTATTATGGTGCCGAAAGAAGTATGTGGACTAAGGTAGTAATGAATCATCAGATTTAACAAAAGACACGTTTTTCAGAGGAAGCAAAATGTTATATTAATCTAATGTCTAAGCTATATTCCCTACACATGTGGAGTAGGGCAGTGACGGGATTTGTAACATCCAGAACAAATGTATGATTTTACTTGTCTCTTACTTGTTCTAGGTTTTCACTTTATACAAATGTTAAACTTACATAACATGTCAATATCACATGCTACTTGTACCGTAGAAGAAGTGCATGTTATACAACAAACTAGTTACCAAGGTGGAAGTGAAAACTGATGACAGATAACGTGATTAGCTTTGTAAATACTGCCCGGGAAAGGGTTGGTCGGGATGTCTATCAGCACAAGAAGGGAGTGTACTATTAGCATTAGAAAACAAGACAGGCCTGGAGAAGTACTTGAGAGAAAACGAGGAAAACATTTCTTTCAGTAACAAGTGAGGGATTCTTCAGAGATTTGTGAAAAGTCAAGAAGAGAAATAGGTGATCAGCTTTTGCCAATTTCAGGCCAGCTAAAGTTTGCTATAATACGTCGACGTTTCCCATTCCTTTTTCAGATCCCCGTTGAGTGGCAATAATCTGAACGGAAATTTATACAGTAATTGGAATCAAGATCATCATACAACATGAGAACAAAGTCCTTCAACAAGGGCCTACCATCAACATATGCATCAAGACATTGCGGAAACTTAACAAAATCCAATGATCTATACTTCTTCGCTACACGATAACAATGTGGGCATAATTCAAGTTAACCTACTCACTGAAAATCCAAAACAAAGTGACAGAAAAATAAAAAACCCCAATTTACAAGTTTGGAATACCTAAAGCTTTGATTTCCAGATGCCCATCAAAACAAACCAAACAACATGCATTTAAAAGATCGCAAAGTATTCGAACAAACAAAATCTCAAAAACCCAGATTAAATAAGAACATCAAAGGATGATTCCACAACAACCCAAGATAAGCAACAGAAGAAAGCGAAAAGAACAAAAACAAGGGTTTTGAAGCAAAATTTAGAAAGTGGGTTTTAGAGAAATACCGACGGCACCGCCGATAGCTCCGCCAATTACAGCGCCGGTGGCCACGCGAGTCAAGCAGCTGTTTTCCTTAGCCATCTCTCTCTCTCTCCCAACTGATATGCAGAGGAAGTGAGCGAAGAAATAATAAATAGGGGAAGTGGAGCTGTAAAGGAGTGGGGCACAAGTTTGCTTGGAGAGCACACACACACGAACGCAGAAGCAGACGGAGAAGCAGGGCTTTTGGGTTTATGGAAGCCTTCCGTGAGGACTCGGCGTCCGTCCGATGTTTAGTGTTCTTGTCTTTCTGATAACCTACTAAAAGCACAAATATTTTTTAAAAAAATTAAAAAGAAAAGTAAATGAAATTAAAAAGTTCCGTTGCCGGGAATCGAACCCGGGTCTCCTGGGTGAAAGCCAGATATCCTAACCGCTGGACGACAACGGATTAGTGACTTAGATATGTTTTATATGCTAAGTATGCGTACTCGTTTCTAAACTTTCACCAAGTACAAAGGAGAAACAGTAATAACAAGGAACCTAAATTTGTAGATAAAATTTACAAACTAAATTTTTGTCACCAATAGAAAATGAGCACGTTTATACACTTAAGTATTAATTCAATCATCAACTTTTATGTTTTTTTTAGTTTACTAAATTTTACCTACAAATTTAGTCTCCTCAGCTATGGGCCAAGTAGCAACCAACATGATGCCACTATTATAAAAACTCCCCTCACTCTAACAATTAACTCTCTAACCCAACGTTATCGCTCTAGTCTATTGTTTATCTTAGCTCAAATCCTCCACTCTATAATGTAAATATATAGCTATATTTACACACAAAAAGGGACCCCACACAATAAATAACACACATATACCAATAAGTGTGGGGTACTTCAATTTGACATAAAAATTATAACTGAACCAATTAGCACTCAATGATTCAGTTTGGTTTGAATTTGACCAATACATGAAACTAAACCATACATCAAAACCAAACCAAACAAACCATGGTTTAATAGGTTTAAGCATATTCCAACACATTAATAAAATAAAATAGAAAAGTGTAACGTTTAATTTTCTAAGCTTCCACACATCCCACACATTCCAATTTAATCAAAAGATTAAGTTTTTCGAAACATGAGGTAGGAATCTTACACTAAGTACAAAATTTGATATGGTTTCCTGTAACCCCGGCCTCAACTCCACTTGCTATAAAGGTTGCACTTACTGCTACATATGGCTCTCTGCTTGCTTCACCCACTGTTTTTTGTGAGTTAGTTGGTTCTCTACAGTTTCTACCCTTACTTGTCCTGATATTTCCTTTGTTGTCAACACGGTTGCTCAGTATATGAGTGCTCTTCGTAATACTTACTAGAACGCTACTAAATGGATTCTTCGCTATGTTAAAGGTACTTTAGATTTTGGCATTCATATGGGTCCTTAGAGTTCTTCTACTTCTTTATCTGCCTATTCAGATGTTGATTGGGCAAGTTGTCTGAATACTATGTGCTCTACTACTGGCTATCTTATTTATTAGGGTTCTAATCTTATATCATGTGCTCCAAAAAACAACCCAAAATGTCCTGCTCTAGTGCTGAGTTTGAGTATCGCTCCTTTGCTCATGTGTGTGCATTGGAGACTACTTGGGTTTGCTTTCTTCTTGGTAAGCTTGGAGATTGCTTGACTACACCTATTTTACTACATTGTGATCATTTGAGTGCTACCTATCTTGCTGCTAATCTTGTTCATCATGCACACACGCATCACATTGAACTTGATTATCACTTTGTCCGTGGAAAGGCTGCTCTTGGTAGTCATCGTGTTTGTTATATTCCCTTTGTTGATCAACCGATTGATCTCCTCACTAAAGCTCTTCATCAGTCTCATCATGCCCTTCTTTGTTTCAAACTTTTCCGACCAAGCTGGTTCAGTTTGAAGGGGGTGTTAAAATATCATTAATTAAACGGGAATCTTCTCCATTATTATAGCATGTATTATAGGCATGTAATTGCCAATTGTAAATAGTGTAGGATTCCCACCTCGATAGAGATTGATATATCCCTATATATATTATGATATTTTCACACATCACTACAAGGAGTCATAATTCTACACTTTTGCAAATAGATTCTCTACTACAAAAACATGGATGCAAGCTTTCGTTCAACAAAAGCATGCAAGTTCCGTGCTACTACTAGATCTTGTACTAAACATCTTTTTTTCCACTCAGTCTGCTTGTCTCGTTAAAACTTTTAATCCAACGGACATAGAGTTGACACATGATTCTAAATAAAAAAAACCCTATTTCCTCACAGTTAAAAAAAGAAATTTACTATGTTGATAAACATTACTTGTTCTTTTACTTTAAATTCACAGTAGTGACCATAGTTGCTAGTGGAAGGGAAGAAGGTAGAGTGCCTTCGCTTATCCCCTCCCCCTCTTTTTACCTTTCTCTTCGCTGAGGTTCTTCTTTCGTGGTGAATATTTCCTTATGGTGATCTAATATGAACCATGCACAAATTTAAGTTCCAATTTTTTTTTTTTTTTTTTTTTGCTCCTTCATGTCAATTGCACGTCCAATATCCTTTTTCCATGATCTGTTACTTTCTATCAACTTTGATTCATCACTATTGATTTTTGTTGTAATTTGAAGGTTTTGTATACATTTTTCTGTATGTATTTTTTTGTGTTCTTTCAGTTCGATCTACTGCTTCTAGGTTTTACTTGATCAAATTGGTAAACATTATATCTATATCAGTACCACATATCAGTTGAATATAGTGCAGGTTATAGTACAAAAGACATGTTACCGCCGAACTAGAAAATTGACAAGCCATGAATGGGTTATAAAAATGCCCTTCATCTACACATTCACCAGGATGACAGCAAATTTGACAAATAAATTTCTCTACAGTAATCTCATATTCCAGAAAAGCAATCCAAAATGGGATCAAAATTAGGCTATATATGATGGGATTAGTAACCCTTCATCAACCCTCATCCTTTTCTCTGGGTCATAAGACTCGTATTCTCAGTCATTTTTTAGACATTAGTCATGGTAGCAAAAACTGCTCGAAATGAAAAACCATGAACATAACATGTGGGATTTGTATTTAGAAAGACAACAGATAAAAACGACTAGAACTCTTTGAGTTGAATTTCAGCATGAGAATTGAGAACAGAGAATGTACCTTAAACCTTAAAGCGCCATACGTTCCATACTCCGAAACTGGACATGTTCATAGAATTCTTATGATGATATCCCGCGACAAATATATGTGGACTAAGATAGTGATGAATCATCAGATTTAACAAAAAATGTCAAAGAAAGTAAAATGATATATGTCAACAGAAAATTACGTGTATATTTCTAACGTCAAAGCTACATTCCCTATCTGGAGTAAGGTAGTATGATATTTGTACAGAACGATATACAACAAACTAGTTACCAAGGAGGAAGTAAGGGCTGATAACTGGTAACGTGATTAAGCTGTCCTTTTCACTCGGTTTTAGGATAAACTCTGTAAATATTTCATGGTAATCTGAGCTCAACTCGACGGTGTTTACTAAAAAGGAAGTAACTTTAGACATTAGAAAACACAACAGGGTAGGAGAATAACACGGCAGAAAACGAGCAAGACGGTGTGCAGGATTCATCAGAGATTTGTGAAAACATAAAAAAACAAAGTCATTTGACAAGAGCCTACCATCTGAACATCCATTAGGACGACACGGAAAATTAACAAAATAGATTGGGATACACTTCCTTTCTACACAAAAAGAATGTGAGCATATTTCAAACCCAAGAATATCAACAGAGAAAAACAAAATACAGAACATATAAGTAAGGGTTCTGAAGATGATTTGTGAAGGGTGTTTTAAAGGAATACCAATGGCACCACTGTCAGCGGCGGCGGTAGCCACCCGTGTGAAGCAGCTATTTTCCTCAGCCATCTTCCTCAAGCAAGCCTTACTAAAAAAAGGATATCAGAAGGTTGATTGATATGGAGCTGGACAGGAATAAGGGCTTGACATTTAAATTTAAAAGTTAAAAAGATTCCATTGCCGGGAATCGAACCCGGGTCTCCTGGGTGAAAGCCAGATATCCTAACCGCTGGACGACAATGGATTATGGTTGTAATTCTAAACATTCACTAAATGCAGTTTTCCATCATAGCTTCTCTTCAGGGCCTTGCAGCACCTGTATAGAGTACGGTACCGTGAATTTTTTTGAGTCAGAGAAGGGCGGATCGGAATACAAGCACTTTTTATATTCAGTTATGGACTAGCCGGCTCTTATTGGGTTGACTATATGAACGATCAGGGGTGTCACCATACCTTGTTTTTGGAATGGTAGATAAGGCCCGCAAGTCTTGTCAAAAATGAACACAATTTGAAAGACATGGAATCTGATCTGACTAGGGATCAAGTTAGTTTCTTATATCTTGGAGATTCCTACAATCTATGGATTGACTTATGTCTCAAGTAATAATCACAATCTACTGGGAAAGAATATCTATATCTGCTAAGATTCTCTTGGCTTAAACAGATTCACTATCCTAAAAAGACTCTCTCCCAACTAGTATAAATATGTCTCTTTATGGCTCAACATGGTAACACATTCTTTGCTCTCATTATCGCGTCTCAAGTAATCACAATCTACAGGGAAAAAATATCTATATCCTCTAGGATTCTCTTGGCTTAAACAGATTCACTATCCTAAAAAGACTTTCTCCCAACTAGTATAAATATCTCTTTATGGCTCAACATGGTAACGCATTCTTTGCTCTCGTAATCGCTCTCTTGCCTACTGCTTTTCTATGATCTTTATACTAATTTGACCGTCAAAGAACTTTTGACCTGTACCACACTAGTGTCTTAGGGATTCACAGTTAATCTTCTTCTTTTGTAGGTGTCCCCTTTTGCCTTCTCCACACACTGTGATGCACGAACTGTTGGTTATTTATTTTATTTTATTAAAGATTTAGAGCTTTATTTATTATTATTTTACGGAGCCTACCAGGCCATCATTTGACCAAAAAGGCATCATGCTGGCCAAATGTAGCCCCTCTTTTAACCCTTTTTTTAGGGTGAGCTACTCAGTTGCAATAATTGATTCAAATTCAATGGTTAGATTTGAAAACATCCAAAGGTAGTTGAATTAAATTACCTATAAATTTACAATTGCAATAATATGATTTACCTATAAATTTACATTTATAAGTTAAATTCTCATGAAAACATCCAAGGGTAGTTGAATTAAATTACCTATAAATTTACAGTTGCAATAATATGATTTACCTATAAAGTTACAGTTATAAGTTAAATTCTCATGAAAACATCCAAAGGGAGTAACATTTGTTTCTTCATATTCTACCGTAAGTTTAGTGCATGTATGATTTAACTTATAACTGTAAATTATTGACTTTGTGTGTTGCATGAGAATTTCTTATTAGAAAACTCATGAGTTAACTTGATTATTTAATATCTGAGTATATCGATAATTCTCTCTAGAATTAACTAGTATTGACATTGTTTGGCTTAACTTTCTGTGTGGGTAGTGAAATGTAAATGAAATTTTACCTAGTATTGACATTGTTTGGCTTAAAATTTGAAAAACTATGCAAAATAAGGTATTATAAGATGGAACTCGAAAGAATTGGGTAAACCCGAACCCAATTAAAACTCAGACCCTACAAAACCCTCATGAAACCAAACCCAACCCAAACTCGAATTGTGAAAGTTGGGTTAGGTTTGCGTTGACCATCCAATGTGCCGCGTTGCACCCCTAGTATAGAATACTCCAGATGCAAGTAGGCGATTTTTTGTTGAAATTGTAAAGAGCCTTTGTGTCACATATCGACTAGTAAACCATGCATCCACTTTCAAAAACTCAGCAATTCAAGAGGTCTTCCCAGCCAAGAGGACCAATTCTACAACTGTTCCCTTGTTCCAATACACAACACTGTAATGTGATGAATTATGTGCACATCATATGGTAACACAGAGCTGGTTATATCATGTACAAAACGCGCATACGCAATGCCTCGAATATAAACACATTTATGAACCATTGCGGAGAAGACTTGAAAAAAAATTTGCAGATGCAATCGCTTATGGAGTTTACACCGCAGCTGCTTTCCACAAGCGCCAGCAACCTAATAGGAATTTACATTTCTCACCCTCAAACCCCCACACAAGGAACATAGGGAAAAATTAGAATACAACAAAATTAGAGAAAAATGGGAAAAGTAAAAACGCAATCAAACCCCTATACCAAACCTCTGCTTCTTCAAACCTTTATAAGAATCAAAGCCAACGCTAATTAACGAATCAGACCTTGGTAACCCAAGCTTGAACCTGAAACAAAAATATCGTTTCCATGTACAGATGACTGTTCCCACATGTCAGCGAGCCAAGTCCTCGCTCCCAATGCCTACACTAGACTTGTCTACCGTGCGCACATTGTATTGTTCATATACTCTTGCTCGGTTCTCTGCCCACCACTGTTCTGCTTGTTTCTCACTAAATCGCTTCCGACTGCATTCACCAGTGATATAAATTTGAATTACTGTATGAATATACTGATATGGTAAACTTCTATACAATTTACTCTCTCTCTCTCTCTCTCTCTCTCTCTCTCTCTCTATATATATATATATATATTATATTTGTATGAACGAAATGTTCTCTTCCAGACAGTGTATTCAATTAAGATAGTTTAATTAGAATTTTAAGTGATTCTCTGAAGGTGTATTCAATTAGAATTTTAAGATAGTTTATTAAAATCCCTAGAAATTTGGGTGTATTCAATTAAGATTTTAAGGAAGTTTATAACATTCCAGGTGTATTCAATTAGAAATTGATTTTAAAGAATTTGAGAAAGTTGAGGAATTAGAGGGAATTGGAGAGATTTCGTAGTGTATTTTAAGCATCCACAAATCTCACCTCTCCCCATGAGATTTCGAGGGAATTGAATCAAAATTTTATACGGAATCTCTACAAATCAATTAAAATCCATGGATTTATAAATCTATTAAAGTCCCTCAAATTCTCAATTGAATACACCCCCTGTAGTCTAGATTCATAGGTATGTTATCAATCTGGCAAGAGAACATTGTCCCATATATACACTAATACACGCTATTATCAAAAAGGTAAAAACACATCTACGCACATATTGTTATGTAGGTAAGTACAATATACCTGAAACGAACTCGCTTGAGATCCTTGGCGCCTCCCGGTAGGGAAGTAAGTGTGATATATACACCAGGCTCATCTTGCTCAACCCATTCAGTTTCATGATGAGATTCGTTTTCTTTAATTTTGGTCCCATTTCTGGTTGCCACATCTAGATGTCCTTGTTTGTTGTGACCTGAATTGCGGTTACTGGTGGTGTTGGACCCATTAGAAAACAACTGACTGTTTGGTCCATTGGAGTCTGGTTCTTGGAATGTTAATTGACCATTCAATCGGTCAGTCAAAGGAATAGGAACTTCGTTGGAAGGATCAGAACCCAAGGAAGAAGCTAGAGAGGGTGATTTCATATTCCGTACTGCTCCAACAGGCAGCCTTTCAGCCATGTCCTTCAACTGGTCAACATATAAAAACACAAAATTAACCATCAGCTAGACTTGGCCTATAAGAGCACAAGTGACAGTATACAGTAAGGATCTATTTGTGCCCGACCACTTGAATAGATCACCAGAACTGACTCAGGAAAATCTCTTTAGTGCATGGCACTATACATAATTTATAGTTACCATTCCATGTAGTTCAATATGTCATACACATTTATTGTGGAATAGAAAAAGTTGATCTCTATCAAATATACTAAGCAAGCAGTCACCACATGTCAAATGAAAACCAGAACCAAACTGAGAATCCATTTCTTCACTGTTTCTGGTGAAAAATAACTCTTAAGTACACCTAGATACATTTTCGATAGATAGCAGAACTTATAACATAAAGAAAAATCAATAATCAATCTAACTAACAAACTACATTTGAAACAATGGTTAAAAATAACAATAAGTATTGTACCAAGAATGTAAACATCTATCGTATTCTTACTTGGGCAGTAAGTGACTGGATCACTTCCTTTGCTGCTTTGCATTTTGCAGTCTCCGCACCTGCAATTGCTATTGCTTCCTTCAGCTGTTTAGTTGTTCGTTCCAGCTCAACCTCTTGTATTTGGGCTTTTTGAGTAAGACTTTCAACCTTAGAGATAATAGTAGTCAGACAAAACGCTCAAGGAGAAAACTGAACAAGTCTAATATGAATATGTTTGGTCTTGGAAAGTAAATTTGAAGGGCATCGACAGCCCAACACCACGTCTTCAGACAAATTACATTTATAAAGTCAATTATCTGACAAAGGTCACATTTCTAAAAATAGAAAAAGAATAACATGAATGTTTCAATTTTTTTTTTTTTTTCCTCCCTTTGTTTTTTCTCTTGGTATGTTTCTTATTAATTATCTATGATTCTTTTCAATTGTCTCAAAAAACAGTTAACTTTCCACCAAGTAAAAAGTAACACTGATTGCTTTAATTTCATTCTTTTGCTCTCTCTTTGTGCTATATTTCGTACTGTTAATTGCTCAGTCACTTAAAAACGAAAACTCATGCCACATTGTCTGCTCCACATTTGAGAATAACAAAATTCATCTTCAACTACCTGTTTATCAATAAAAAATTATCACCAGTTGTGACCTTAATTCATTTGAAATACTCGGTAATTGAATTTTTATTTGGATATAGTTTGATGAAAAGGCATATTTCGTTTTCTAGTTTAAAGAAAATTTCTCATGTTGGAGGGGAGAGGGATTTTGATTTCTTTATGTGAAATATTACCATGTTAAATTCATAAAGATCCAGACTTGTAGTTTCTTAAAATTCTTGCCAATAGTTGCATTAATTCCAAAATGAAAAAAGTTGAAATTGAGTTGTCGGAGTTTAATTTCCACAAATAGGCCACTACACAATTACTTATTCATCAAAATAAAAACTGGTGAAAGGAGAAAAAGAGAGTCAAGTAAACAAAGTCAATTTTCACTAGCAGCTGACTAACAAGAGAGCTGTGCACCAACACTTGTTGAAAATTAAAAAGATCAGTAGTTGATACCTGTGATCTTAGTTTGATAACCTCCTGTCTGAGGCCTTCATTTGTCCTTTTAGCGTCATCTACAACAATCTTTGGCGATGTGAGTCCTCCCAGAGTTGGAGTTGGTGTTGTAGAACGTGGTGGGCTGGGGCGCCTTGAAATTGGGGATGTAGCTCGAGAAACAATTCTTGATCCAGGAACAGAGGCTGAGAAAAACTTCTTGGATGACCCAAATACTGGATTAAAAGGTTTAGAAATATTAAGAGCTCCCCACTGTGATCCTCCATTTGGAACAGGTGAGACTCGACTGCTGTTAAATTCTAGTTTCTTATTTTTCTTTGATGAACGGGTTTCCACATGTTTCAGAGATTCCATTGAAGAAAACCTGGCTAGTTGCACACGAGATCTGGAGTCCAACTTATCATCTTTATCAATAACCTCATTTGACCCCTGATTGATACTTCCTCTTCTGCTTATAGATGTCTGAAATGAAGTATCACTTTCAGCAGCTTTTCTCAGTTTATTAAAACAATTATCACAGACACGATAAGGTTTGCTAGGATTTGGTGCCATGGAAGCTTTGAGTGATTTCTTACTGCTGCAAGAATGACAAAACACAAGCCCACAATTATAACAATTATGGCGTTTTCTTTTAAAATTAAATGGAAGCCGGCAACCCGAACACATTGACTGATCAACTCCTGAAACCCATTTATGAAGGCATATAACTGCAGTAAAATTAGCACCACAAGCAATACTTTTGACTTGCTTATCTTTCAGAGCTTCAACTAATGTTGGGGAATTCCGATCATCTATATTCCCATGACCTAAACGACCATTTGCTCCTTTTCCCCAAGTATACACTTCAGTTCTTGAAGTTAAAACTGCAACATGATAGGCACCACAAGCAATCTCTTCCACAAAACTCTTGGAGAGCTTTCCCTCAACTCGAGTTGGAAGCTTTCCATCAGCTTGAGGATTTCCTAACTGGCCATAAACAGGACTTCCCATTGTGTAGACATGACCAGATGTTGTACGAGCAACCGTCATACTATGTCCACAAGCAACTCGACAAAAATTGGATTCAACAAGAGCGGCAACACAGGTAGGCACAAGTTTTGCTTCCTTGTCACCATGCCCCAGCCTACCCTTATCACCATCTCCCCAAGTGAACAGCTTTCCTAATGAACAGTTGCTGGAACTTGAATTCCCAACCATGACTTCTACAACTGCAGCAGTATGCCAAACACCACAAGCTGCTCGCACAGTGCGAAGGCCCTTCAGGGATTCCACTTCCCTGGGAATTGAAACACTTTTCCGATCACCATGGCCAAGAACACCAAATGTGCCATCACCAAAAGTAAACAACTGCCCAGCAGAAGTTACTACGGCTGTGTGCCAGGGTCCACAAGATATGGATGAGACATGTATAGCCTCCAAGGGTCCATTTACTCTTTTGGGGACCCAATGGCTCACTTCATTTCCATGTCCAAGTAGACCGAAATTGTAAGTTCCATCACCCCATGTGTACAGATCACCAGAAAGCGTAACAGCACAAGTATGGTACTCACCACAAGCAACAAGCTCAATGTTGATATTACTAAGTGCATCAATGAGCTTTGGTTGCAAAACGTCAACATCCACACCATGCCCAAGCCTGCCCCCCGATTCCTCTCCCCAAGAGAAAATCTCCCCTTGCTTCGTTACTAAAGTAGCATGCCTACCACCACATGCAATGTTTTGGACATCAAGCACGACTTTAGATTCTAAGGCTTTGGGCAACAAAGAATCCATTTTTGCACCAAGACAGCTTCCAACTCTATGAGAACCACCACCCACAACACCATCTCCTGTGCCTTCTCCCCACATGAAAACATCTCCCAAGGCATCACCATCATCATGACCAGAACCTTGGCTTGATGAGCTAACAGCACTGGATAGACTAACTCTAACAGCATCCATTGCCATTGCCTTCATCTGCCCATGTACACTGTCTGAGCCACCAGATGACACAGAATGTACGGAAGCACTGGCCGAATCTGAAGGGAAGAAACCCTTGGGAGGAACAGCATACAGTATCACATCTGAAAGTGCCTTATCCAGACCATTTTTAGGAGGACTTTCATACGGACTATGAAGGCGAAGGTGATCTGCACTATCCTGAATGGAATAAAATAAAAGAATTTAATTTACATTTTGGACACAAGTGAAGAAGAGCATACAAAGGGAAGGGGATCCTCTCCGGATCCCTTCCACCAAGTCCACGAAGGCCACATATCCGGGCCTTTGAAATTTGATCCAACGGCTAAAGTTATTATAACTTTTAAAGTGGGCCCTTGTTTGTAGCCGTTGGATCAAATTTCAAAGGCCCGGATTTGTGGCCTTGGTGGACTTGGTCGAAGGGAGCTGGGGAGGATCCCTTTCCCATACACACGAAGAAGAAGACATACCTTCTGTAAGCTATCATTACTACCAAATGGAGAATTTAGAGGGGAGCTTCTCCGAGTGTATGTTCTAGGACTATTTGCTTCAGATGGAATTCCATCACTCCTTGACTCCGTTCTCCATTTTCGATGATGGCTGCGGGATATCAATGCTTTTAAGCCACTAAACCAAACCTCAGCTTCATCTTTATCTTTGCAAATCTAGTACAGAAGAATCAGATCACTGAATACATACACTTTAAAACAATATCAAAACCATTCTACTATGACAGTATGACCATAGGATAGAACAAGAGACAATAGCAATCAAAGAGAGTAGATTGAACCTTACCAAATCTAGTGACCTGTCATTATATATTAAAGAAAATGACTGGTACTCCTTCTCAGGCCGTGGATACCTTTGAAAGATTGGCTGGAAGAAATAGGGCCATGTTTGATCAGTAGTCTTATCTTTTAATTTTTATTCAGACCTTAGCATCATGTTGCTGCAGATGCATAAAGATATGGAGCTCTGATAAAATTAAAACACAGAAACATACGCAAGCACAAAAGCACAATCAATGAGATATGGGGGTTATAATGAGAAATCGCCAGAATCATTATCAAACAAACAAATCCTTAAAAAAAAATCATCCTTAAGATTAATAAATTCATGGAGGAAGGAGGAATAACAAGAGAAATGGCACAAGAGTAGGGAAATTCAAGGCTTCTTATGATCCAGAATGGCACATGTTATATACTAGTACTACACATGCAGTGGTATATGTATAAAGACGGAAAACAGAAAATAAAAAATAAACAGATAACCCATGGCTAAATATGGTCAAAATATCCAGCTTTTTCACATAATCAGTGGTTTTTGGGTTTAAAAGTTAAAGTTACAACTTAATCGCACATTAAAAGCATACCAATTTTTTCCAGCGTTACAACTTTCTTTCAATAAAAAATCATTGAATGATGTAGTCATGCAACCACATTGTTAAAAAATTTGTACATGTGAGTAAGATATATAGATGATGCATCTTCACAGTTAAGACACTTACAGTCCGTTGCCCAGAAATAATTCTAGACACGTGGCTTAGCTTAAGGTGCTTTTCCTCTTTCCCAGAGAACCAGATTAGAACAGATTCATCCTGAAAGCAACAACCAATGATGAATTATATCTATTAACAGGAAAAATTATGTATGACTGTGTTACGAAACTACTGTATTGAAGAGCACAAAGCTTTTAGCTACAATTAGACGCCTCAAGAATATATATCATATAAGATTGTTGATAAGGGAATTGGATGAAACTGTTGCAGAAGATCTGAGTAGGCGTACTTAATTAGTTTTAACACCATTTTATTCTGCCTCATGTAGGTGCTGAATATGATCATGTAATTAAATCCTTCTATGTTTAAGGATGGCTTCCAACATGAGAATGGATGGAAAAAACGGATACATATAGTACTCTTGCAAGGAAAGGAAAAGAACAACATAGATAAGAAGGCAGACCCAAACACAATATTATAATAGCAAATCAGAAAATTCAGGAACAAACTTACATTGGAAAGACGAAATGGACAAAACTTAGGCTTCCCCCTTCTTCCATACTTGAGCAAGTATGCCCCTTTCTTTAGAGCAGTAATAGCCTGTAGTAAGAAACAGTCAAGAATCTAACTTAAGCATATTCAGCAATTTCGTGTATGAGAAGAAAATATTAAGAAAAGAATAATAGTAATGTATAGGAAAGGATAACAAATTACTTATTCATTAAATCTAATAAAATTATGAAGAGGAGAAAGACATTTTAAAGAAAGAAGTGCATAAATCCGTAGGAGCTAGCATTCAAACTGAGTTCTAATATACAATTCTACCATGCATGGACATGGATACGGACACGGGGATACAACATGACATGGGGATATGTCAAATTAACAAGAAGAATTGATGTATGACCACAAGGGAATACAACACAACATGGGGATACGAGGGGACTCCACACGGGGATACGAGGGGATACCACCATGTCCATGCATCGTAGATACAATTCCCTTTAAGAATTCATATTGAGTTTTGCTATCATTTAGTATACAATTCCTTTGAAGGATCAGCACACTTAATTCAACCAATGAAGATCGAACTGAATTAAGTGAAAGATGACATAACCACTCATAACAATTCAACCTATACTTGTATTAATCCTGCGAAGAGATGCTCTGCAATGTTATGAATGCAATATTCCTAAGCACCAGTCTGAAGTGTTGATAGAAAGAAGAGAAACCTATCGGCTAGGGAGGATGGGAATGAGAAAAAAAGTTCCTATTTTCAAATGTTACAAAAAAATTCATTTCCGTCATTATTCAATTATTGCCCCAGATTATCATCAAAGAAATATCTATTCCACTAACCCCCTTTCTTCTTCTTTTTTAATTTTTTAATTTTCATCAAAGAAAATTTGAATTATATTGCCCACATCCTAAAATTTGAATTATATTGCCCACATCCTCCACCTCTAATACGGTAAAATCAAACCCATTTTGGTCCCATGATTTAAATAGAGTAAATCCGTTGTATGTGATACAACAACGATCAATTTGATTGGTCTTTTGCTTTTGTTTGTATAAGGTAACTGCAACTCAATTGCTAAACTCATACGTAAACCCTTAACAACTGTCTTCCCTAAACTTAGAGCAATCAAATGTATTCCCTTCAACTACCCAACCCCCAAACTCATATCGCAAAAAGCAGTGGAAAAAATAGTGAATTTCAATAATGTGACCCCCAACTATCAACGTAAGCAAACACTAAACTCCATGGCTTAATCTAAATGCAGTACTCATTCCACGAGCTGCAGCCGCTTCACATCCCACGAGTTAGTCTCATTCAAAAAAATCATTTCATGCAATAAGCAACTCATTGCCACTTGATCACATTGAACAAAACTCGCACATCATCATCGCCATCATCACCACCACCAATATAGCATCTCAAACAACGAGATAAACACTCAATTTTGGATCAAATAACACCTCCTAATTAGTTTATACTCAAAGCATTCAACATTAGCAGCAACACCATTAAACAGCAGAAAATCAAATTAAACCCAAAAAAAAAAAAAAAAATCGAAACCCCAATTCATAACAATACCTGCTCGATGTCTCTTTCGACGGGGCCGGTCCTGCTAAGATCCGAACCCATTCTATCGGTCCGCGACATTTCTTCTCCTTCTCAAAAACCCTAAACAAGTCTAGATTCTAAACCCCAATCCGGGACTCAACCACTCTCGTAACCAAACACTGCCATTCACAGACTCTGAACTCAGCCTCCAAGTGGAACCCCATATCTTCTCCCCCAAATAGCCGCCAATCTCCACCGACACTCAAATCCACCATCGTCGCCAATTTCAGTCCAACTCCAATCCAACTCCCTCAGTCCGTATAGAAACCAACGCTCTCGGAGCGTTGGAGTCTTCGCGTCTTCCAGTGCAGTCCACAAGCTCCGTCGTCCGGTGCCCAACGAAGCCGAGAGAGAAATGGGGCGAGAATTCAGTGATTCCCGGAACTGGGGACGCGGTAAGTTGGTGAGTCACCGAGTCGCTGACTCGAGAGATTGAGTGAGAGAGAGAGAATCTAGGGGAGGAGAAAGTGAGGGAAAAGGTGAGAAAATCCAGGTGAGTATGATCTGATTTTTTTCGTTATGAGTTGAAGAGGAGGGGAGAGAAACAGCTTTAACCCAGAGGGAGAGATGTGGATTTTTTTTTTCTCCAAGAGAAAAAGTGTAAGAAACGAATGGTAAAAAGCACGAGTTAATTATAAGAAAACTAATAAAAATGGTAAAAAATTTTAAGTTTTAACAATAAAAATAAAATAAAAAGAGCTTTAATAAAAAGGGTTTGGGTCAACAAATATTTAATCAAAAACCATCCCAAAATGTTATTTAACCAAAAGAGCTCAAAATTTAATAAAAAACCTTCCAAAACTAAGTGTCCCCAAGCACTGTGCCGCCATAACCCCCGCCAAGAACGATAGCGACAACAGCAAGACAGGGATCGGAAATTGGATCCGATAAAATCGGGCGTTGAATCGCAATGATTTCGATTACCTTGTGAGTGTTCTATTTGTGTCTGAGAGTCTGCCTGTAAATTGTTTGATGAAATACCTGCATTGTTGTAGACATTAATTTTTGGTACTGTTGTGAAATGTGGAAAACCTTTGCTTAATTTAGGGCTGGTTTGGTATTGCTGTGCTTTGAAAAAAAGCTACTTCTGCTGTGCTGTGAGAATAAGCAGCTGTGAAATAAAGCAGTAGAGTGTTTGGTAAACTTTTTTGTAAAAGTGCTTTTGAAAGAAAAAAAAAAAGCAGTATTAGAGTGTTTGGTAAACTTTTATGTAAAACAGATGTGAAAAAAAGCCGGTTTTTCAAAGCTAGGTTTTGCAGCTTCTTGTTTTTGGCTTTTTTTCATCCAAAACTGTGAAAAAAAGCTGAAGCTGAGTGTTTACCAAACACAAAAACAGCTCCCAGCTTTTTTTGATAGCAGCTTTTTTCAGAATCACCTCAGTACCAAACCAGGTCTTAGTGTTTGTTTGGCATGTGTTTGTTGTAAAAGGATAAAGGCTGCGGGATTGCTTGTCTTTGACCTGCAGATATTACAAGGTCTTCTCCTCGTTGTACTCTTGTTTTATTAATGGCCAGCAACCTCAACCCAACACGAAACCGTTATAATAACTCCATGTCTTCCTATCAAATCGAATTCCCCCATTTTAAAAACAACCAAATCAAAGTTGAAAAATGAAGCATTCATTGGAACAAAGCTATCAAAACAAGTTCAAAGAAGTTTAATAGCAGAAACTGATGAAAAAGTATCCGGAAAAAAAAAAAAAAAAAAAAAACCAAAACATAAAAAGGTTTCTGGAGAACCCAAAACATAACACTGTTTTTGGGGAAAAAAAAAAAATTAGATAAAGTGTTTGTTTTGTCTGTGCACAAACAAACACCGTATCTGGAAATAAAAAAACCAAAATCCAGAAACAGTGACTTAAATTCCAGAAACAATGACTTAGATTTCAGAAACAGTTTATATTTTAACCATTGAACTGTTTCTTTTCTTTTATGCATCAGTTTGATTATATTTAAGAAATATGATGCTTATTTTGCTTTGAATCCAAATACAGTGAATTTCACTATTTCTTTTCTAACTTACATTTAAGAAACAGTGTGTCTATTTCATTTGGATCCAGAAACAGTGACTTGATTTCAGAAACAGTAACTTAGATTTCAGAATTAGTGACTTAGATTCCAGAAACAGTTTATTTTTACAGTCCAAAAACAGTGACCCGTCGTTATTATTGAATAGCATGCATATCTCAAATTTATTTTCTGGAGAAACAAATGATGAACTCCATTGATGAAGAAAAATTGAAAAACAGTACCTCGAATACACTATGAATAACAACAACAATCACATTTCAACGAAATAATACAAAATATAAATTAAATAGCAAGAAGATATATATTTTTGTTTCAAAGAAAAAGAAGAATGTTTGCAAAACAACGATGATCTCCATTAACGACGAAAATCTAGAACTCAACCTAAAAATGTTAGGGGTAAAATCGATAAATCATAATTTATTATAGTTAGGCCATTTTTTGTTGGACTAGCCTTGTACTAATCATTAAACAAAACTTATAACATGATTTTTAATTAGAACTAAAACTTTTCAAACTCTTTTCATTAGTTTTCTTAAAATTAAAATAATGGCTATAATTCTATATGAGTTCTAAAATATTGTTACTTTTCCAAATTTCCCCATAACTAAACACCTGTATGTAAGAGAAAAAAAAGATGTGTGTTTATCTTTTCTCTTAATTATTGTGCTATATAAGAAAAATTGAAACTTATACCTACTTTACCATACGATATTATAAATAAAATTTTTTTTTTTTCAAAGTATATATGCTGTCTAACAATCAAGTTGGACGCCTCGTTAAGTTAATTCTATATGATGAGAGATTGATAGTTTTGCAAAATAATACGCATGTCAGATATTTACTTAGCAACGTATATATTATTATACGTATGACAATGACATATATATACATGATTAGGGATTTAGAATAGGCAAAATTGAAGTTTGCTAGACTATATTACTTGTTTATAGGCAAATTATTACAATGCATGTGTCCTTAACAAACGTTCATGCATAATGCCCTTGACAAGAGCAGTTGGCTTTCCCTTTGATTGACCAACACCATGGAAGAAGGTTCACTTTTTACAAAAGCGGCTTATGTACGTATAAGCACAAGTCAGAAATTATGCATGGTCCCTAGCTTTCTTCCAGGCAATGGTCCAAACTCCAAACCTTTTCTAGTCTCATAGGGGGATCGATGATTTCTTATCCATCTATTCCATGTTCTAACATTCCTTACCACATAACCCTACCATATATAGCCCTACAAATAAGAAACAATAGCTAGGTTAGCACAAGAAGTCAATGTTTTACCACCGTGGCACTACTACAAATAACAGTTTGCACGACGAAGCATAGTTCGTCGTGGAAAGACAAAAGACGTTGCCTGAGAATTAGCATGACAAAACCTTCGTCGCCCGAAGTCCGTCGCGCAAAGGTCGTGAAAGAAGGGTTTGTGTGACGACAACGTAAGATATGTGTCACAAAATAACTTTGCGCAACGACAATAACCTGCGTCACATAAATTTTTTTGCACAATGTAGCTTAATCTCATTGTTGCGCAAAGATTGTTGCACGACGTAGGTTATTGTCGTCACGCAAAGCCCTTTTGCATGACGTATCTTACACCATTGTCGCGCAAAGTTGTTGTTATTGTTATTTTATTTTTTGACAATATATATTTTTATTTAATTTTTATAAATATTTTAATTAAATTATAAACAATAATTAATAAACTAAGAAAAAGTATTTAATTATAAAATATATGAAAATGTACATACAAATTGTCCAAATAATAATAAAAAATAAAAAAAAACTACAATAAATAGTTATCCGGGTTTGATGCATCACGCTACTAGGTATCGGCTAAGCGAAGCGGCTGGGAGGTCAAAGGTGGAGTAGGATCAAGTGTTGGCATTAGGATTTGGGGGCTGGATAGCTTGAAGGCCCGTAAGATCATTCTCATCTTCTTGTCCTAGACTGCAATCTGGGCCCTAATCTAGGCTTCTCGGGCCGCACTCTTATCTTTCAGGGTTACCACTTCCTCCGTCAAGGCGATGACCTATCCCATGGTCGGTCTGGAAGAGGAGGCACTCGACTCACGAACCCACGCCTTCACCATCCCCCAAACAACCTTGCCATGACAACGGCCAAGCGTCTGATCAAGGGTCTGAGTCAGGATCTGAAGACCCGCAACAAACTAGGACTTTACCGTCTTTTTTCCAAACATTGTGCGACGAATGTGTACCTTCGTCGCGCTAAAACATTTTGCACGACACAAAGTTTCGTCCCCTAATGGCCCGTCTTGCAAAACGTCATTGTGTGACACTTCTTTGTCAAAATCGCGCGAAACGTTTTTGAGCGACGTAATATGCTTTGTCGCACAATTTTCTGTCGCATAAGTGTGTTTTTGTACTAGTGTGGGGGAGGCATCCCTCATTATGTCAGTGTTGCAAAGCATGTGTTTCGTCATGCCTTTTCAACTTTATTGACGATCTATGAACCTAAAAGCCAAAAGTGGTCCAAGAGAAAAGGGAACTAGCTTTCTTGTGCGATTATATAGATTGTAGAGTTCAGGTTAATGATTTTGCCAAATGCAGGAATATGAAAAATAAAAATGGATCAGATAACAAGCCCAGCACAGCATATGCATGAAGTCAGAGACGATGTCTTAGAGCATAAATTTAGAAAGTTCATGTTATGCACAATGTTTGTCAAGTGTACTAAAATAAATGTTTTCGCTTCGCCAAGAATGTTTCTCATCATGTTTTGTTCAAGAAGTTTTTGTTGGCGTGAGTTGGGTGATTGGAGAAAAATTTGTATAGAGCTCAGTTTGTCACTGGATTTTGCAGAGTAGCAGTATAATTCACTTAAAACTCGTCATGTGGTAAGTTTTAAATGTAATATTTTATCTTTTTTCTTATATTTATAAATCTCATAATTAAATTTTCTACTAATTAATATACACACCACCATGAGATTCATCTAATGGTTCATTTTTCTTCTCCCTCTATTTTTTTCTTCCCTAATTGCCTCTACCGTTCTTCACCACTTCCTTTCTTCATAAGAATCTGGAGAAAAAATTAAACCACATGAAATGAAAAAAAAAAAGTCCAACTCAGAGTTCATTTTTGAAAAAAAAAGCTGTGTGAGAGCAACATTTGGATGAAAGTTTGTTAGCTTCTGGGTTCTCTGTCATGAACCAACACAGACGTCATTGTAATGCCCAATCCATTAATCCATCAGTCACATCTTGCCCTCAAATTTTCCATGAACGAATGACGATTTAAGTGGTGGGGAAAATTTGGTACATTGTTAAGACTGAGAGTTGCTGGCAAGGTCGGAACCATTACTGGGTCAAGTCTAATATTGATTACTTTTCTTTCTTAATATTTTTCTACAGATTTATTGGGAAGAAAAACAAGAAACCTGGTCGGGGAAGAAGGGAAAATCTGATAAGGAAAAAAGAGTGGGAAGAAAAGAGGAAAAATCATGGGTCATTAGATGAACTTAACGGTGTATATTAATCAGGAAGAAAATTAATTATAATGAT